TGCTAATGCCTGGACGTCTGCTGGCTTTTTCCACTCGGCCTCTCTTTGCGCTTTTCTCCTGCACGTTTTTTTTTTTTCACCGATCCTTTACAAATGAGGGAATTCCTCCCCTCGAACGGGAGGGGCGCGCATTGGCGTCGATCATTCATAAATTTAATGGAAGGATATTAGTGCAACTTGGACAGATGCAGCGCATTAAAATGTACATTATCTCATTAGCATGGCGGTGTGTTTGTATTAATGAAGTGTGCTAATTGAAAGATTTAACAGGCTGGCTTTATTAATCTTCTTAAAGCCGTACAAACATTGAGATGCAGTGGCTTTTCTGGTTAATATGGTGAGGATGCAGAATGTGGCTGTAAGCGTTTACCGCCAAGCTATTATAAAACGTATCCAGCCGTAGTGAAATCACCACTTTATTCATGGATACATTATTATGGGTTTTAAAGTCAAGGTTGGTAATAAATTGAAATATAAAGGGGTGTTAGAAATTTAAAGGGGTCCATATCATCTAGTGCCGAATGTTGTGGGTTATTTGTGTAATTATCAGTAATCACAGCTTAATTGGGATAATTAGGCTGAAGAAAAGGCTGTATGCTTGAGGGATTCGGCTGGAGGCAGAGCTCGTAATGGATATTGTGGGTGATACTCTTTAGGGAGGTGGTAAATTTCACTCTATTGATTGTGGGGCTGTGGTCGTAAAAACAACAACCCTCCCCTCACCCATCATACTACACACACACACACACACACACACACACACACACACACACACACACACAGTGAGTCTGGGTCACAATCCAGGACAACAGTGGTGCATTTTGAGTTGCAAAGACACATTACACAAGCACGAATTACAAGCGTACATTTTGTTACTATGGCACTTAACAAACCTAAACTCTTCAGGACAGTGTCATATTATATGTACAATTAAACCCGATGTGATAGTTAGCTAGCTATAAACATGTCCACAGCTTAACTATCTTTCTCAAACTGTTGCTCCGACCTGAAAATGGTTAACGGGAAAGGGAAAACTAAGAGGCAGAGCACTATAGCTCCCTTTGTGGCAATTCTGAGAATGCCTTACAATAATTTAAATGATTATTGAAATAATTTACCACCAGAATGAATGACAAAAGTTTTTAATGTAAAAAAACATATTTGTCAACCTATTTGCTTTTCTCTCTTTTATTTAATTATAATAATTTAAATAATTATTCAAATAATTTACCACCAGAATGAGTGACACCATTTAATAGAAATACAAAACAGATTTGTTTTTTTCTCTTTTATTTTATTATAATTTAAATAAGTATTGAGATAATTTACCACCAGAATGTCAGGTTTAAAAAAAAAAAAAAAACTGATTTAAAAAAAACTGATTTGCTTTTCTCTCTTTTGTTTTATTTTAATAATTTAAATAAGTATTGAGATAATTTACCACCAGAATGAACATTTTTAATAGAAATAAAAAGTCAACAGATTTGTTTTTCTCTTGTTTTAATAGAATAGTCATTTGAATATATTTATTGAATATATTATATTTATATATTTATTTATGTACCGCTAGAATGAAAATGCAGAGTTTGAAGTTAATAAAAATGAAAAAAAAAATTAAAACTAACCAGGGAGAGTCAAGCGAATATATGAGCTTCTTATGCAACAGTGTTATTCTCCATTGTCCCTGTAATAAATAGTGTGCCTTCATAGCGCACATGTAAACAACAGTTTGCTCAAACTTTGTTGGTGTTAGTCACCGAAATAATCCTACGGCTGAGTTCACTTTGAGTCAAACTTAATGTACTTGAGAAAAAGTGTTGTTCCTTTTTGTTTGACTTTGGGGAGTTTTGCTGGCTGAAAAAGCGAGAGGTAAAGAGGGAGGGATGGTGAGTCGGGGTCATTAGTTCAGGCGGCTGGGTCTGCTGCATTCCTGAGCTCGGAGAGGGGGAGAAATGAAAGATGGAATGTGACTCGGAGAGAAAGAAAGAGGGAGGACCTGAGTGGAGGGACCCTGAAGGGGCAAGAGAGAACAAGAAAAAAAGAGCGCTTGCCAAGGGAAAGAAAAAGTTTTCAAAAAGTACGAGGGGGGAAAAAAGAGGGAGAGCTGGAAACAAATTCTGTGCTGTTATTGGGGGAGGGTTGGAGCTGAAGTCATTAAATGTGTTATCAGTTAAAGGGAGGATGGGAAATACAGCTTTGATTTCAGCGGGGATGGTACAGACAGAACATCCACAGATGCAACCTCTGATCATTTCCAACAAATGGCCTTTTATTTGCACTGTTTGTGTTTTGAAAGTTTCTCAAACGGAACAATTCCATTGCACTAGTCTAGGCACTAAAGGATCTACTCGGATGAATCACATCTAGAGCGGACACCCGAAATATCTACTCGAAACGCACATTGAGATATTCCCTTGAGTAATGTTAATAGTTTGGTGATTCATAATTTATTCACTCATGTTGTTTCAATTGTTTTTTTTTTTTTTTTTTTGCTTGCTTGAAGTTCAAAGTGAAACATTTAGCAGAATGTCCAAGCTTTTTTCCTCTCCATATACATTGAAAGGGAATGGTGTTCACGACTGTCCCTGATTCCCATTCACTTTTGCTATAGAGAAATGTAAGCTTAGATTAGATATTCTGCTAAATGTCCTCCAAAAAGAAAGCTTTTCAGGTTTGGAATAACACGAGGGTGAGTAAATGATGACAGAATGTAAAACCTTTTTTTGCTGAACTATCCCTTTAACTTTTCTGAAAGAACAATGAATATACACTGTATACATGCTCACTAGTTGTGAAATACTTGTTATTAGGGCTGGGCGATATGGCAAAATATATTATCACGATATTTTTTTCCATATTGATCGATATTTGTTACGATATATAATTTAATAATGCTACCCGTTTGAAGAGTATACTGATAATGATGCCTGAAGAAACCAGAAGGTTCAATAGTATAGTTTATTAACACAAAAAAATAGAATAACATAATGCAAACATCTAACTGTGCAAACATGGCTTGGTTGAGAATATATTTTGTTATTAAATAATATTGATAAATAAGATGTAAATGTTAACATTTTACTTTTAGCAAACATGCTTTATCTGCCTTGACAAAACAATGCAAGTAGTTAGCTTGCCTTGTAACTTCTTATAAAATATAAAACTAAAAGCTGTGACTACTATCACATCAAATTTCTTTGGCAGGGCAGCAAACATTTCAAATGTTTGTAGAGGTACAACCAAGACAACAAAAGTAAACAAGCGGACCACAAAGTCCCTGGCGCATTTAAGTACTCAACTGTCAGGTAGATAATATAATATATTAATTGTGTACTGGTTTTACATATCTCAAATGTTTTAGAGGTAGAAATCTGAGTAAAAAATGGTCGCTGGGATGGTACCAACAAAAAGATTTGTTGTGTTTCCCGTCTTGGTTATCACCGACCGACGGCATATTTTGCAGACCGTCTTTATTTGCGCTTCGTCACTTTTCAGATATCCAAACCACTTCCATATAATTGACGGTACCTTTTTTGTCAACAATTTCCTCCACTTTGGGAGACACGTCGCTTTCGTGTCCGTCGGTTCCGCTCATTTTTTCTTTACGTTCACTTTCTTCACTGCCGGTAGCTCAAACAGTGCTCTGCTAGCAAATAGGCGTGTACTTGGACGCACAAGCCAAAATCTGCGTCTGAGTGGCTGTTGTCCGTTTATTTCTGCTTTGTAATAGGCTGTTCGGTCTGTCCTTATCGAGTAAAATACGTCAAAGGTTTATCATTGTAGTCTGCATAAATCTTATCGCGATGCCATATCGAGATCGTTTTATCGCCCAGCCCTACTTGTTATTTTTAATACAGATAAACCTTTTCTATATATAGGCCCTGTTTACACCTGGTATTAAGATGTGTTTTGGTTGATCGGATCACAAGTGGGCAACACTAAATACAGGTGTAAACGGGGTCTGAACCGTTTTGAGATTGTCCACTTTCTAACACTTCCAGAGGTAGTCAAACACGCTCGACCAGAGTGCTTTCGTAGTGTAAACTCTCATGTGGTCGAATGTGTTCGAACAGCCGAGAAAAGACCGTCTGCTGAGGCATACTGACCTAATGAGTAAACATTATGGGAAGCGCGCTAGCCAGATGGAAAGTTTGCTTTGAAAAATGTACCAAGCTCGATGTTCTCTCACCGTTCCTGATTTCTAACACACACGCACATCGTTCGGCTGGTCTTGCGACTGTCAGAACAGAAACAAAAGCTGATGCTCTCCATCTGTTTTTCCATCGTCTCCAGTCGTGTTCAGATGTAAATTGCCTAATTTTATTTTGTCCATTAGATCAAAAGATCTAAAAACAGCCCATACATTTACCCTCATCATAGACCCTCTCCTCAAAGAAATCAGTACAGAAGTGGTTGAAAGTGGACAAAAGAGACCGATTAAAACACCAGGTGTAAACGGGTGTTTCCCTCGTCTACTTGTGATTCGATTGACCAAAACGCATCTTAATACCAGGTGTAAACTGGGCCTTGCTTTAGAAAGAAGACCTTTTATGTGAATTACAACTAAGAGTTCGTAAAACTGGCCTAGAGGAAAGACAAAGACCCTCTGGCTCATGTTTTTCTGTAAGTTATCTTTATTACACTTTGCCCACAGTCACTGCCCCGGCCCTACTTGTACATATGTACAGGAGTGTAGACGGGGTGCTCGTATAGGTGTGTGAGCGATGGGCCCATAGCAGGAAGTTGACAGAGGTCTTGTTTTAATTCAGTGCCGGAGAGGTGTGTACTTATGGCTGCTTGTGCTTATAGTGACAGCACATGCTCTCCTGTTATTGGACCCCTGCCACTGAGGTACCATGCTGCCCTCTGCTGGCTGAACCACAAATTGCACACTTAATTTGGAAGTACTACCAGTTTCTGTGGCATAGGGAATGAAATACCATTAATTCAACATGGTGTGAAGTGACCAGTTTCTGAAAGCTCGGTTTTGTGTTCTGCAGTGCTGAGCATCAGAGGCGTACAGGAGGAGGACCCCCCGGACCCCCAGATCATGCGTCTGGATAACATGCTGCTGGCCGAGGGTGTGTCTGGGCCCGAGAAGGGTGGTGGATCAGCGGCAGCGGCCGCAGCTGCAGCAGCGGCTGGAGGATCACCCAACGACGGCAGCATCGAGCACTCCGACTACAGAGCCAAACTCGCACAGATCCGCCAGATCTACCACTCCGAACTAGAGAAATATGAACAGGTGAGAATCAGACGCCTACCTGGCCCTTGTGAATTGATTTCAGAATGGGTTTGTGTATAATATATTTTTTTCTCACTGGTGGAGTGATAATGGTAGGGAAGTTATAATATCCTGCAGATAAATATATGTTCTAGAAATGTTTTATTTCATATACATATTTGTACTACCGTTCAAAAGTTTGGAGTCGGTTTTCTTTGAAAGAAATTAGTAGGATGCATTAAATTGATCAAAAGTGACAGAAATCTTTTGTGACATTATAATTGTCTTCACTATTTCAAATAAATGCTTTGCTGTTTGAACTTTCTATTCATCAAAGAATCCTGAAAAAAATGTATCACGGTTCCCATAAAAAGATTAAGCTGTTTTCAACATTGACGATAATAATGAATGTTTCTTGAGCAGCAATTCATCATATTAGAAGGATTTCTGAAGGATCATGTGACACTGAAGACTGGAGTAATGATGCTGATAATACAGCTGATCATACTGATATTGATATTTCGATACATTTGATGAATTTAATATATAATGATATTTTGCAAAACTGTTTTACTGTGTTTTTGATCATTACTGAAATAGTGAAGACAATTATAATGTCACAAAAGATTTCTGTCACTTTTGATCAATTTAATGCATCCTACTAATTTCTTTCAAAGAAAACCGACTCCAAACTTTTGAACGGTAGTGCAAATATGTATATGAAATAAAACAGTTTTAGAAAATATAATTATCTGCAGGATATAATATGCAGCCTTAGTGAGCAAAAGAAACTTTAAAAAAAATAATTTCGACACCAACATTTTTAAACCTTGTGTATTTGTACTAGTGCTGTCAAACGATTAAAATATTTAATCGCGTTAATGTCACAGTTAACTCGCAATTAATCGCACATTTTTATCTATTCTAAATGTCCCTTGATTTCATTTTTGTCACATTTCTTTTTTCTCATTTTAATGCTCTAATCAACATGGGAAAGTTGATCGGCTTGCTTTGTGCAAAAGTTTATTTTTTTATTGAAAACAACATTGGCATATATACTGTAGTGTTTAATTTCACACTAAAACATTCTCACTTGGAGCAAATAATCTCTCACACAATGTAACTGTCCATTAATAAAAGGGTGAAAAAAATACTTTGTCTGACAAACAGCCCTTTCTAAGGGATCAAAACAGGGCGATACAAAATAAAATTACAAAGTGCACATGTAACATCCATTGTCGCCAGGCTTTGACGAGGGGGTGGAGAATTCGCATCAGCTGTGTGTGTGTGTGCTTGGCCATCATCAAGTGGTGTTTCAGACTGGACGTGCTGCGATGATGTTAGCTCAGTTCACAACGACAAAACACACAGATCACTTTGGTCTTGTCAATGCAACCATTTGGCAACTTTTCAAAAGTAAACTTTCCATTCAGAATCTTATTGGCATCCATTTCGGCGTCTCGCGCTCGTCATCCACTCAAAACGTAACGTTAACCTACTATTTGGCCGGCTCGCAAGCCCAAACAAGTGTGTGCGGCGTGCCTGTTGTTTTGTTTCCGGTCTAGCTAGATCCGGTGTGGTGTTGTAGTTTTTCTAATGCTACTAGTTGTTGCAACAGCATGTGAAAAAAAACTACAAAGTTTGCTAGGCCAAAAAGAACGTTAATCTCGCGATAAAAAAATTGACGCCGTTAAAATGGGTTTGCGTTATCGCCGTTAATAGCGCGTTTAACTGACAGCACTGATTTGTACATATGCAATGATCCTGAATTCTGTTTGATAACAGGCCTGCAGTGAGTTCACCAATCACGTGATGAACCTGCTGAGGGAACAGTCCCGCACACGGCCTATCTCACCCAAGGAGATCGAGCGCATGGTGGCCATCATCCACCGCAAGTTCAGCTCTATCCAGATGCAGCTCAAGCAGAGCACCTGTGAGGCCGTCATGATCCTCCGCTCTCGCTTCCTCGATGCCAGGTGCGTGGCCCTGTGTTTGTGTCTCTTTAGGATTGAGAAAGTTCATTTTGGTGTCTTCATCTGGCCTGCTGCACTATTCCACTAATTATTATTATTAACCTCGTATCAATGAAACACTCGCCTGATTTCTCCACTTTCTGTGTCCTCAGACGTAAGAGACGCAACTTCAATAAGCAAGCCACAGAGGTGCTGAACGAGTACTTCTACTCTCACCTGTCCAACCCTTACCCCAGTGAGGAAGCCAAGGAAGAGTTGGCCAAGAAATGTGGGATTACTGTCTCTCAGGTAAGGCCACGCACATGGGCTACTGCACAATTTGGGATTTTGTAATCCAGTTTTCCAATAATGGAGTGTAAGAAAACAACCTACGGTAAATGTCCTGGAAAATAACTAGTTATTCTGACCCATTTTTATTTGAACTGAACCATGCAACTTTAACAAGGTTTTCATCAAATATAAAAAATGATGTCATTTAAGTCATTAAAGTTAACGTTGCATCATGTCCACAATGCCGCTGCTAGCATCTGAGTATCAGGAAACAACAAGGAAACCTCAAAAGCATATACAGAACATAATCTCTGCTGTTGAGTAGTTATTGATTGTAACTATTGATATTGCAAAGATGAGCACTTTTTTGCACATATTACAGTGTCATCATTTACTCACCCACATATTCCAAAACCATACGTTTTTTTTATGTCTCTTCGATAAACAAATGAAGATATTTTTGGATAAAACCTTTATTAAAGAGGATTCTGTCCTCCATTGAAAGTCTACCCAACCAAACTTAGACACTTCTCTAAGTCCATAAAGAGATTTTAAAAGTAGTCCTTATGAATTCAAGTCAAGTCATCTTCATTTATATAGCGCTTTTAACAATGGAGATTGTTTCAAAGCAGCTTTACAGAGATAAACATACAATTTACTGTAACAGAGATTGTTTTAGCTTTATGGCGATTTTTGAATAATGTTATTTCCAGCTAAAGTTGGTTTTGATTGATTCACTTCCAGCAAAATTATCATTTGTTATTACATTAGGGGCCACTAAGACGACGGCGTTCTCTCTAAACAGACTTTAAACGCGAACCTAGCTGTGACCGGATGGCGTTCACATGCGCATTAAAAATTGATTCTATAGTTATATTCGTTTGAATATGTGTGCGCAGGTTGAGTGCTTTTTATATGATTAACAGATTCCATTTAAGCTTTTATTCACATATAAACATTGTTCAACGCACATGCATGGAGCACATCAAATATAGTAAACGGAAGCTCAAACTTACTATCGTACTATCAATTGTAATATCTTCATTTGTGTTTCAAAGATAAACTAAAGTTTTTTGTGTTTTTTGTCCCGAACAGCATTTTTTTGTGATCTATCCCTGCATAGTTGAGTTGTGAACTTGTGCTGTGTTCACATCATGACAGACTTGCCATAATTACAAGTTTCCTCACTTGTAATAACCGCTCATGTTTGTTGAACTCATAATTACAAGTTGGAAACATTTTATGACAGCTCTGTCACCTCCCACATAACTGGTGTGAAGTCAAAACAACTAAAACAGCAACAGCTTTATAAGTTAGAGTTGGCAACTTCTACACTTTTCTGTTTGATATGGGATTAGTGAGGACATTTGTACCAGCAATGGAAGGAAACATTGCATCTAACGTTAGCTAGAATTTGTGTGACCAGACAAGCTACAGCGATCATGTACAGCTGACATTAGAGACAGTGCTCAGCATAAGTGAACACACCCATGCTAAAGTTGACTAAAATTAGGAATAAAAAAATCATCCTTTGGAAATTGGTGAGAAAATTGGTGTCCTTAGTTAAATAAATTAGGGAAAATCCAACCTTTAAGGCATTAAGATCAATTTCCAAAAGATGATTTTTTTTTTTTATTCCTCTTTTTAGTCAACTTTAGCATGGGTGTGTTCACTTATGCTGAACACTGTATATGGATAGCTAGCTACATAATGACATAATGAAACATTTTGATTAAACCCTCCAATAAATAATGATTTTGTTATTTGATATCACACAAAATGGTTTTACATGAAATAAGTCTTATTCAAAGTTTCCAGTGTATGAAGCTATGTTGGAAATAAGGCATAGGAAGCACTGATACAGGGAACATTGCAAAAATATTAATAAAAACAATAATAGTTAGGGGTTGGTAAAAAAAAAAGCAAAAGTTTCTATTATGCTCACCAGGGTTTCATTTATTTAAAGAAAAAAAAAACTGGAAAGACGGGAAAATTGTGAAAAATTATTACAATTTAAAGTAACTGTTTTCTGTTATATTTTATAAAATGTAATTTATTCCTGTGATCAAAGCTGTATTATTAGTCTTCAGTGTCACATGATCCTTCAGAAATCATTCTAATATGATGATTTGATCCTCAAGAAACATTTATTATCATAAATGTTGAAAACAGCTGTTCTGCTAATATTTTTGTGGAAACTGTGATACATTTTCTTTCCGGATTATTAGAAAGTTCAAAAGAACAGCATCGTTTGAATATACTTTATTTGAAACCAAAATCTTTTGTAACATCATAAATGTCTTTACTATCACTTTTGATCAGCTGCATCCTCGGTGAGTAATAAGTATTAGTTTATTTAAAAAACATTCTGACCTCAAGCAGTGAACAGTAGAGTAAACTATGCAGTTGAGAGTGAACATTATGCAGTGGCATCTGAAGGACAAATACATTTTCATGCAGCTATTGAATTTCAGCATGGAGTAAAAGTTTATCTTGGGATAAGCTCGAATCTGTGTCAGAAAGATTGCGATTTAATGAAAATCTTTTCTGCATAGGACTTGGTAGTGCTTTATTAGGCGTCGTTCACTGTGATGAAATCGTTGTCTAATTGGAGTGGTTTCTCCTCAGGTCTCGAATTGGTTTGGCAACAAGAGAATTCGGTACAAGAAGAACATTGGTAAGTTCCAGGAGGAAGCAAACCTGTACGCCGTTAAAACAGCCGTGGACGCTGCCAATGTGTCGGCACAGGCCAGCCAGGCAAACTCTCCAGCAACACCCAACTCAGGTAAAGTGCACAGCAGCCCTCCCATCATCTCTAGACGACAGTAAAACCACACTGAGCTTATCACAATCTCACTCCTGCATTTCATCAGACTATTTTCTCACACTACATCTCTCATTTTCACTTCTGTTGTTTTCCTGTCGTCCAGTCTGTTCTTGTCTGCCCATCATAAGATCTTTCTTTGTTTTCCAGTCATACAGATAATGCTTGTTTGACGGTATTTGCACTACGCACTTGCTGGGAATGTAAGATTTAGATGTTGTTTTTCTGGGTTGCGCTGCTGTAAAGTCGACCCGATTGTATCCAGGCAACAAATGTTTTGTAAACATCTGCAGGATAAAACCGTCACGGGTCTATTTTCTCTGGACCGTGACGGTATATTGGTACACACCACGCGACAGCAGAAATGTTTATGAAGGGGTGTTGTTCGGCACAACTTGAAGCAGAGTTTAGTGTACAGTTAGCAAACAACGTCGCAACATTAATATAGAGTTGTATAGAGGGCAGTTGATGTGTGGTCACAGGTGTATGTGTGTGTATATATATTAAAACGGCTTCAAACGAGGTTCATTCAGGCAGAATTCATCCCAAAAGCGTTCATTTGTTATGAGTAATCTTGTCTTTTGTTTTGCATCCATCATGTTACAGAGAAAAAAAGCCTACTCATTTGATTACGATCAAAATAAAATGCTTACTAAAAAGATGTCTGTTAAATTATTGCAAGGGATAGTTCACCCAAAAATGAAAATTCCCTCATTATCTCATTTTAAAGAAAATTGAATTGAAAATAGTGCGAGAAATGAGGCTCCTCTTGTTTCCACTTCTCACGTGAACTTCACAACCCACTTACGTCATGTGTCATAATGTCCTTCTCACGAATGCTTGTATGACAGTAGACCGAAAGCAATGATTTATGATTTTAAAAGCTACAAATGAGTACGGTAGTTTTCTTACACAGACCGTTCGTTTGGCTTCAGAAGACATTGATTCATCCACTGTGGTCGTTTGGATTACCGTCACAATCGCTCTGTGTGGTTTTTCTAGCGTCAAACAAGCGGTACCCATTAATTTGCATTATATGGACTCACAGAAGATGGCTTATTTTCCTAAAAATCTTTGTTGTGTGTTTATCTGAAGAAAGTAATTCGTATGCATCTGGGATGTCATGAGGGCGAGTAAATGAGAGGATTTTCCTTTTTGGGTCTCAGACTATCTCAGAGGACACTGGTTTGAGCTCAAAGGGGTTTGGCTGAAAAAAGTTCTGAGAATACCCTGGTTAAAGGGATAGTTCACTTTGAAATTAATTTTTGGCATGTTTTAGCTTACCTCAAGGGCATCCAAGATGTAGGTGTCTTTGTTTCCGCAGTTGTTTCAATTTTGATATTTTTAGGTCAAACCGTTCTTGTCTGTCAGTCATATAATGCAGGTCTATGGTCACCACCTCAAAGAGCATGCACAGAGAAGTCAAAGAGGTAAAAACTATATAAATACTGTTCGTTTTCTCACACAAACCGCTCGTTTCGTGTCTTAGGCCATCAATGTGTACTTACATTTACGAGTCATTAAATCATGTTTAATTTGGACTTCTCTGTGCATGCTCTTTGAGGTGGTGACCATAGACCTGCATTATATGACTGACAGACAAGAACGGTTTGACCTAAAAATATCAAAATTGAAACTACTGCGGAAACAAAGACACCTACATCTTGGATGCCCTTGAGGTAAGCTAAAACATGCCAAAAATTAATTTCAAAGTGAACTATCCCTTTAAAGTATCTAATCAGAATTGGATTGTCGAAATATAGAAAGGCATGACCACATTGTTAAATTATGGTTTCGATCATACCGCCCACTTTAGCCTCTGGCCATGTGAACATTCACTTTCATTTCTGGTTCTGCATGATTGTTTTCCTCTAATCCTGTGGCGGTAACCCCCTAAATATTTGTCTTTCCGTTGATAACTAACACAGCCTCTTTTCTTGGCTTTGTCTGAGTTATCAATGCTATGTTGGCTTCATGTTTGTAGTTTTATTTTCATATTCACATGTGACACATCCACACACACACACACTTGGTTAGTGTAGTTGAACCTCTATTTGCTCAGGAAGCAGAATGGAGAAGGTAGGTGATTTAACTTGGTATTGTCATTTTTAACAATTCTCCGTCACTGCATACATTTTTTTTAAGCCTCACCTCCACATTTCCTGTTTTACATCCTGCAGCCAGCTTACCAACAATGCATTACATCATCTAGAGGAAGTAGGACGTTGAGTTGTACAACTTCATGTAAAGGACCAGTCCACATAGCATATACTTTGTTGCTTCCCATTGTTCACCTGTTTTTTTCTGTCGTCTCTAGTCGGCGGATACAGTTGAACTGTTTATCATGGCAGTCTTGAATTTCGGAATGTGGCTTGTCCTGATTTTCATGTCTTGCTCAGCCACACACACACACCACTGTATGCTTTTCCAAAAACCAACCCGGGCAAAGTTGCGTGCCTGATCGGCTGCGTATATTGCCTGCAGGGTCATCTGGGTCGTACACCCTTTCTCACACAGGAGATGCCTACCTCGGGCTGCGATCACTCAACGGGGATGGCGTCAGCGTCACTCCCGCTGTGCAGCAGGTAGGCACTGAGGACGTCCCCTCAATGCCCTTCCTCTTCCTTACCTGCTCCCAGTGTAGTGCTCTCCTCCCCACTCCTTAAAGCTACTGCCCCAACCCTTGACATCCGCCTTAGCTCCCACCCCAGAGCGCCTCGGCTCAGTCGGACTCATGGAGTCCTGAGCGTAGAGCTCTATCCTCCGCCATCTTCCCTGTGTGGCACCGCTCAGTTTCATTTCTTCATCAGTCATCTACAGCTACGTCCTTTATCTACTTCCTGTTAAATTAATGAGTCTCATCAAGACCCCATTAGGGCTCAACAGAAAGGATGTACCGATGCCCCGGAGCCACTGAGGGCGTTTTTACACTGGGCACGTTTGCTGCGGTCCGAGTCAGAGCGCGTTTGTTCCCGGCGCCCACCACAGCGTTGGTCTGGTTTTACACTCGACTTGATTCTATTGAACCCTGGTGCGTTTGTATTCATCTTACATCATCACAAACATGCACGGCGCATGATAGAATACTGTGTTTTTTATTAATTTGGTGAATTCAGTTCCAGTGCAACCCAACTCAGACCACCTCCTACAGGTAGTCTCGGGTTCGGTACCTCGGCGCTCTCCCAGGTACGCATGACAGCTTTCACATTACCAGTTTTTCATGCGAACCGTACCGCGTTCGAACTAAACTGCCAGTGTAAAAACACCCTGAGAGTGTTTCGTGTCAATGTTTTGGAACAGTCACTCACCCCATCACACTAGTATTGCATGTCCCTCCTAAAGTCAAACATTTGATGTTCTGTAACGCATCAAACTATTTTTTTTTTTTTTTACAAATAATGCTAATTGAAATATCACTGAGGTAAAGTTATCTCAATGGATAATATGGATTAGGTGTAAATTTAGCTTCTTTTTTTCAAGAAATGCCAAGTTTTAAATGAGTAAAATAATTTACCATTTTTTTTGCAAATAGAACTTGCACATTTTATTTGTTAAAATAGTAATAGCTGGGTTTCAGTCACGTGATTATGATGACGCGCGAAATTCAGATGGAGGGCAGGGAGTGAAGAGCGCAATGGACGAGATGGAGGAAAGTCCGTACTGTACTACTTTACACGCTATTACAAGAGAAAGATATAAACAAAAAATCAAACGTATGTTGGACGTGATCCTTACGTTATGAAGAGGAGCGATTTTCAACTGAATTGAAAGATTTTCCTGCCATCGAGGCGGTAGATATCAGCAACTACCTCGTCTCACAGACATACTTTGACTTTACAAAGTTCGTAAACGTTACACAAACATTGCCACTTAAGTTGTATTAACTAACTCCCCTTTGACGAAGTGATCACTGCACACACGGGCATTTTCCCATTCGGCTCCTCCCGACCGCAGACGTAGGTTTGCAAGCCGTTTTTCCGGAGTTTTTCGGTCAATTTCTTGCATTTTCCCCCCTTATGAACAACAACTTTTGGTACAGGATAAAAACTCCTCGTGGTTTGATCGATTTAAGGAACCATAAACGACGCAAAACATAGGCATTTTGAGTTTGTTATAGTGCTTTCTAAATACAGCAAATCACTTCCTGCCCTCCATTTGCATTTCGCGCCATGGCAACGCAGTGGCGTGACGTCATATGAAAACAAGCTATTGTCATTCTTTTTTTTGTGTGGTGGGATGAGTAAAAATATCCACAAAAAAAAAAATCCTTAATTTTGAGTCCTGTACATATTGTACTGTTGATTTAGGGGCCGTTCACACAGAACATGTTTTTGCGTTCCACTGCTCTGTTGGCAGATTTTCTGTGTAAATGTGCTAGACATCAGTGTTTACCGTTGCGTTATTTTGCAGCGTCTCACGCATAACACGGCATTAAATTTTTTTTTAAAGTTTTAACTTTTAAAAAATGTCACAAGACCTTGCGTTCCACTGCCCTGCATCTCGCAAAAACGGCTTCTGTGTGGAAGACCCCCTAGACCATATTTACACTTCACCCAATTGATTTTTATTATTGTTTTTATTTTTATGTGGAAAGGATCAAATGTGCGTGTAACATAAATCCATATATGATATGTGGTAATGTTCTAAACACTTATTTCTGATTCTCCTGTTAATTCGTTAACTCCCACCACCCATCATTGCTATGTGACATTGACTAGGTCTGGTTTTAAAATCAAAAGAGCCAGAAATGAGTGTGAGCCACTAGAGAACGAAGAGTAGATCACTTTACATGAGTGTCCCATTGATAGTGCAGCACAGAGCAGTTTAGACTAAAGGAGATTGTTCACTCAAAAATGACAATTCTGTCGTCATTTACTCACCCTCATGTTGTTTCAAAGATTTCGTTCATCTTGAAACAATATTACTCTCTTATTTTTGTCGATCCATTAAAAGTCCACGCAACACAACTTACATGCTTCAAAAGGTCATGGAACACAACATAATCCAAGTCTTCTGAATAGACTAACGCTTTATATGATGAACAGAGGCTTAAATTCACATACAAACATGAAAATTGACACTTTTCTTCTTTGAGTGAACTATTCCTTCAGATAAATGTAAACCGATGGGACAACATGTCAGAATATCAGATGTGTGAGAAATATTAGAGAATGATGATAGATGATGAGGCTGCATTGATGTATATTCAGACTCATTACACCTTTCAGTTTATTAATATTTTATTTGTCGCATGTAACATAAATATGGCAAATCTAATATGTTAGCAGAGGTGTTTGGCGTTGTATTCTAGAGCTGTGATTGTTTGTCCTTTGATACTCATGTGAAGTATGTGTGCTACAGGTGGATATCCTGCACCGTGCTACACACCTGACGGCAGGCTATGAAGATCTGTCAGGAAGTCCTCTTTACACCCCACACCGTTTAGACGTGAGTGCAGCTCTTACACGCATACACACACACACACTCTCAAGCTAAAAAACTATAGATGAAATGGAGAAGGAAACACTTGGGGTCTATTGTAGATGACCAGATCAACAGTCATGTCTGCTGCCTGCAAACTGTAGCTTGTATGTTTCCTGTTTCTACATTAATACTGCTAGAGGAAACTTCTAGTGGTTAATAATGCGAGTTAGATGCATCTAAATGCTGTATGTTCAGCTAAAGTGAGTTCAGTGTTGATTTAGATTCGTTGGAAAGAGCATCAATTATTAAAGTAGTTTATTTCATCTATAAAGCAGTTCTGCTTAGAACAGTGATGTTGTCGACCAGCTCATTTCAGCTCTCATTCAACAGTCATATCAATAACATTGTTGAATATTAAATGTCCCCAACTATGCAAGCCAGAGGCGACAGTGGCAAGGAATCCAAAACTCCATCAGGTGACAGAAGGGAGAGGAAAAACCTTGATGCATTCAATCGTTTGAACATGTTATAAGTGTTTTACTATCACGTTTGATTCATTTATAGGGGTCATGACATGTTTTTTTGTGTTGTTTTATTATGTTCCCTTAGATGCAATTATAGTATTAATATAGTTTTTGTACAAAAAACTTTAAAAATGTAGTGATTTATTAACTTTTCCCACCCTGTTTCTCCCCCTCTGATTCAAACAGTCTGTTTTGGAGGCGTTTCCCCTTTAAGAGTTCGGTGTTAACGCCCATTGTTATGATTGGTTAACGTCAGTGCTGCTTTGACAATGCTCCGCCACGTGAAACTTCGGTCTTCTGATCTTTTACCATCGTGTCAATTCTCAATTGATTTTGATTCATATGCGCGTGGGAGAGAGAGACCGTTTGAAGCAAGGGGGTAATCCATCGACCGGAAGTTGAAGCCGGCCGGGTGCCGCCATGTTGTAGCAGAACTTCACTTGCGTTAGCATTTCCATTGACTCCCATTCATTTTGGCGTCACTTTGACAGCGAATAACTTTACATCTGAGGCGTTTAAAGACTCCATTTGTCCATTATTTATTTCTAAAGAAACACGACAATGTATAAAGGGCTCCATTACCTTCTATGTTACATTATAGCCCCGTAGAAACAGTTTTAGTAAAAATAGGCTAACGATTGCGTCATAACCACTGGACTCTGTCGCGCTGTACAGAAATTACCGTACAGACAGGAGGAGAAGCTCGCAGGCAATCGGGGGGACGTCCCGTCAAGGGAGAAGCCCATAGATAATGAGTCCATAAAAGCAATGGAATACTTACTCCTGCTCACTCACGCCAAAGAACTCTTTGCTCAAGTTCCCCGTCTCTGGAAGATTAACGTTGGCAATTTTCACGCACAGCTACTAGAAGATTAACGTCTGTCAGACAGGTTGCTCACGTCATCAAGCTTAGTTTGAGTCGGTTTGAGTCTGCGCGTCAGGAACGGAAGTGCTCAAAAATCCCTAAAAATGGGCTTCAACTGTCTCAACTGAGTTCCAATGAGATGGCTCTGTCCACTTCTTATACTGTCTATGGTTTGAAGGCGCCGGGGCTCTCTCTCTCTCTCTCTGCTCGTTCTTTCAGTAACATGCGCTCTGTCACACTCATCTACATCACTCACCGAACAAATAAGGCTTTGGCGGGCTGCATATGCTGCAAATAAACTGAATCCAACTGCTTTCCCTGACGTCCAGATCGTTCGGCAGTATTCGAACATGTTGTTTGTCCACAGCCAGGAACAGCACATCTGCATGGCATCGCAGTCATCTTGTAAACAGACCCCCTCGCTGCACGTCAACGCATGCGATGATGTGAGCTGAGGGGTGTTTGGTGTTTTTAGCCCCCAACGGCGCCTTCCAGGCAGCGAGGGGATGGATAGGTTTAGGGATGAGGTTAGGGTTAGCTGCCTGGAAGGAGCCATTGGGGGCTAAAAACACCATCGAGCGAAATGAGGCGTAGTTGTCTTGCGCTGGAGGCGGTCATATGCAAACGTCTGGTACGTCACTTCGTACCGTGACGTCACTAAGTTCAAAGGATCTAGAACGAGCTGTATTTAGAGCTTGATTAAATAAATGCTTCGTTTATAATGGGGAGGACGTCTTAAGCTATGAAACTTGCAGGAACTTTTAATAGTACATAGATCTCTTATACCAAAAGATCAAGGCAAATTCGGTTTCTCATGTCATGACCCCTTTAAATGCATCCTTGCTGTAAAAATGTTACTGACCCTAAACTTTTAAACCATAGTGTATCATTTTTAGTATAAACAAGCAACATTTGCATATATCCAAGAACTCTTGAGATGGTGTATCATTTTTATAGGATTAAAAACCTGCTAATTAATGACTCCTTTTTGTTTTGCTGTGAAAATTCATGTTGAAGTGTCTACAGTGTCATTGCATGTTACCTCAGCTCATACTGTTGTTGTGACTCTCTCCACAGGCTAACAACAGCTGGCAAGACAACACCAACCCTTCCTCCATCACCTCTCCACCAGGACCTCCTGGCAGCATCCACTCCGACACCTCCAGCTAATGCAGCTCACCCTGCTACACACACACACACACACACACACACACAGCATCTCATCATCCTGTCTCGCCTGTTCTCTCCTGCTCACAGCTTTCGTCCTTCACTCTAGCAGATGTCAAAGGTCTTCCATAGTCCCGTTCCTCTTTCTTCATGGTGTGCCAGGGTTCTTACGCTGAACCAGACTGACTGAAACACACACACACACAAACACACACACACACACACTCACTCCTCGTGCAAAAGACGCAGAACGTCACATTTGCTGTGGACGAGTCTGAATAAACCACACATCCTCTTCAGCAGTCTTTGTGTGGAAAACACAAAGTCTTGGACAGTTTCCGCCCAACTCCATGTTACCTTTCCTGTTCCAACCTGTCATGATGGGGATTACGCAACAACTCCCTCCTTGCTTGTACCAAAGTGCTGTCAACGGTTGTCGCACCTTCCGCTCGTCGAAGAACAACCTCAGACAACTGACCCATGAGAACGCCATTTAGCCTGCTTTTTAAATATGGTTTCATCGCTGCTTCAGTAAGCAAAACCGACTTTGCGAAGCAAGCGTTTCTCACAAAACAATCTGTCCTGCATTGTTCAACGTTGTGTTAAGCACAAATCCTATCAATCACACTTTGAGCTGGTGGTCGGATGGAGAGGAATCCATCCGTGTAAAGGTACGCCGGATATTTGAACACTTTAACTAGCCGATCGCAGAAGAGTTCGGTGTGAAAGACCTTCAGCGGAGGAGACGAAGGGCGATTGATGTGCGGTCATGTTTCCTCACTACTCGTCCACTTTCTCAACAGATGTAAAAGAGATGTTGACATCGACCTTGTTTTTAATAGTTTAGCCAGGGTTTTTATTTTGTTTGTTTTTCTGCCGCTTTTTCACCCCCACAAAGATGCACCAGCCACCAAATAAAAGACTCGACAGGAACTCAACCTCGTTTTGGGAAAGGGGTTGGACGGATAGCTGGAGTATTTGTTTGGATTGGGACATGGGGTGGGTGTTTAGAAATATTTTTAAAGGGAAAGAAAAAAAGATATTCCACTGTCTTCCATGCATGTAGGGTGTTGAGATGTTTTAGTGATTCCATTTAGCCTAACGTTTGTTTTTGTTTAAAAAAAAAAAAAAAAGATACTATAAAAGGAGGGGGGGGGGGTGTAAGTAACAGACCAAATAAACAAACGAACAACTCCAGAAACAAAAACGACACGTCATACTGCCAAATCCAGCACTTCCAGCTGGCGTTTGGACTTCCGTGGTATTTTATCGATCGCACGATTTCATGACAGGCATCCGTGACACACTGACCACGATACTCAATCCTTTCTGAGGAGGCCATAGCAGTTGCCAACCAATAATTCTGACCAGGAGAAGCGTGCTTGTTACAGATATCAAGGAGTTCTTTTGATTAGCCGTGTGCGCTATGGCTGCTCATGTTACTGTGTTGTGTGTACGGGTGTCTGTTTTATAAGGGTTGGGTTGTCTCGTCACTCACTCGTGCTTTTGAACTGATTGTATTGTATGTGCAATTGAAAGCACCTGTTCCTTGGTAAAGCATGCTGTCTTTTTTTTTTTGCTTACAATTTCACTAAACAAAGGAACTCTGTTTTTTTTGTTTTTTTTTATCCGTTAACATAGCCAAGCAACAAGGGCTTTTCTCCTTTCAAATTTAACCAAAAATAAGCACTGGATGTGTTGTGATTTGAAACAGATGGACTAAAGCTAGTAGAGGAACATCAAATGAATTTCTATTTACTTTTTCCAGACAAGACGGACAAGTTGTTTTTGTATCCCCGGGATTTGTTGTCGTTTTTTTTTCTCTCTCTTCCCCCAAGTTTACCTTTAGTCACGGAAGCACCAGGGCGTTTTGATAAATGAATGGAAATTCTATATATTACACAAAGGACTTAATAACATTGAAATGTAAATTGGGGTTTTGTTTATATGTACACATGGAAAAACAAACTCTGAGGAGCTTTTCAAGCTTATTATTCAGATCATTGTGTCCTCTATAGATTATTGTTAGTTCTAAACATTTCACATGGATATCTCCCAACTAATGCTATTACTACACCAAATTTCTTTGTTTTCTTTTCTATCAGTCATCTATGGATGTCACTGTACAGATTGTGGAATGTTTCAGTGTATTTTCTCTTTTTGTATGCTTTTAATTTTTTGTTTTTTATCGCTGGGGGTTTTGGATTCGCTCACGAGCAAGAGTAATATTTGTTAGTCTTTGTAATATTCATTTTAGCGTTTCAGTTACATTTTATTTGGATCGGGAGTCTCAAGTTATTGTTTTTGTGTGTGGTTTTGTCCGAGCTGGTTGCATTTGTTTGAGGTTGCTATGAAAATTCCCTCACATTACTATCAGACAACTACGAAATTGACAGAATAAGATGTTTTTATCCATTAGCTATGTAACAGAGTGATGATTTTGAACACTACATATCTGGCTGTTGACGTTCCTAAATGTCTTTTACCCCCAAAAGCGCACCCGTGACCTGTTTTACCTCAGTATCGGTTCACTGAACTGTTTGCCAATTTGTGATTTATGATCTGAGGCGGATTCCACAGCACCTAATCAAATGCCATCAGTGTTTTTTTTTTCTCTATTTTTTATCATTATTTTACTAGAATTGTAGTACACTCTTCCTTCTGTATTTACCATTCTCTCCCTCCTCTCTACCTCTCCTCTCTCCATTTCACTTGTATATAAACCCCACCATTTTCAGACTTGGTAGTCTGTATAAACTCCTTTTATACCTCAACTTTAGAACTGTTCTAGTGAGAGAGAAAAAAAGAAATATGAGAAAATTGTAGTGTTCCTTATTAGAAAAACAAAAACTAATAAAATAATCTAGTGTGCTTTTGAGCCTGTAGTTTTTCCTTGTTGCTGTTCATTAAGGGTCTATTTGCATGTTACGATCGGTAAAATGATCTCGTTATGCCGGTTATGAATGAGTCTGCCATTTTCCAGCGTGCCAGCCGGTTTTTCTCGTCGCCATGTCTGAATATTTATACGACACGAGGACAATAATATGAGGATCACAATAAATCAGACCTTTTCTCCTCATCTCAAATTGATTATGTGCTCTGTAAATGGGGAAATGAAACACAGCCCATATTCGGCATGAAGTAAAATTAGAAACGCTGCTTAACAAAACAGCATGAAATCAAGGTCATTGTTTTATTTGGGGCCTTCTATATCAAAGCATCAGCAAGTCAGTATTTCATGAGCATTTGAACCGCGGTTTACTATCAATTACATTTTACGCTTCATCTTGAAAAACATGTGCTGGTCTGTGCAAAAGTCACTTCTACGATGCCAGAGCATTTTTAATGTGGTTGCTAAGATTGTTGTCGAAAGGTTGCTTGGTTTCTACACATTTGCATAATGCTTGGCTACTGGCTGCTTTGGCTCATCCACGACCACAAAGAACAGTTGGGTAAGTGATTTCGACATGTCGACGAGACGCTCGCTGTATCCGAAATTGAAGACTTCCATACTATAGTTATGCTAAAACAGCAGGCTAACAGTTACACCAAATGAGTAACGTTAGTATTGTTGCGTTCAAGTCGTCCTGAGAAGTTTGTTTTTACGAGCTGGGAAGTCGTGTTTATGACGGCAGTCGCCAATATTAGTATTATTTTGTGCAGGGAATTAGCTTATTTTATTGTAAATCAAAAAAGCCTGACAACGTCACTGCTAAATATTGTGGTCCGTCACGTTTCTGACACGCCCCAACTCATAAACATAGGGGTTAAAGAAAATTCCGAGCTTCCCACACGTATTTACGACTTTCTGGTGGCATTCATGTGCGCTCAACTCGTAAATACGATCTTTTCAACATGAATTGAAAACACACCACTTGTTGTCCGATCCTTCTAAGGTCAGAACGAGCGTTGTTAAATGGGACAAGCTTACAGAGGACTGTTCTTGTCGCCTAGCAACTGTGAGGGCTGCCGTTGACGACCGGCAGTAACGTTTGTGTTGGACATTTTTGAAAGTTATAAACTGTCTGAAAACAATATGGGGTTCACAAACTGTCTAAATGTGTTCACCATGGTCCATTACTGTATAAAGAGTATAACATATATTCACCTCTTAGTAAGATATGTCAACATTTGAACCGGCTTAAGTGTTGTTGTTTTTTTTTTTTTTTTTTACATTTGTGTCATATTTGAGTAAGCTAAAACCCAATACTTGTTTATAAAAGTGTAATTTGGCAATTTCTCAGGAAAAAAACATGCTGTAGTCACTGGTGCATAATGAATTCTGGGGTAGGCAAGGCTGCGAAGGATCCATTTCCTTGAATTGGGACAGGCTTTGAATGTGGCCCTCAAAGGATGGAGCCTCTGAGTTGGGATGCAGCCATATTTTTCAAAAAACAGTAGCACTGCGTCCGAAATCCAATACTTTCCTATAGTCGGGGAGCCAAAGTCTCAAAAGCTCAATAAAATGGGTTGAACCTGACATGGTCTGCCATACTTTTTATTTGTGTTTTTTCTGTTAACTTTGACCCTAAGAACCAATAATTGGAGGGTCTGCTCTGCCGGAACTATCGCGGAAAAAAAATTGTGGCCATTTTAGTGTAGGCTATGCATGCACCCTTTATTTTATCAGAAAAATGTGAAAAAAGTTTTTTTTTTTTTTTTCTCAAATCCTTAGTGGGTTGGGTAGGCTGTCAATAAATACATTCCAGATACACAGAACACATGTGCTGACAACATCCACTGAAAAAAATAACTCTTAAAACAAATTTCTACATGATTTTGCATCAATTTAATGCAAAGAAAATAACTTTTTTCCAATATTTTCATCTTTACTTTATTGGCAATCAACTATTGCCCTAAGTTATGACATCAGTCAATATGCCATTCTTTTCACCAAACACTATACTCATTCCACAGAAAAAAAATATAAAAATCCAACCAAAATCAATGGATCTGTGATGATTTCACTATACTAGTTGGCAATCAACAGGCTCAGAACTTCAATATAATTTTAGACTACTCTCAAAGTTCTTAAAAACATGCTGGATATTTAGCATCATGGGGCACTTACACACACACACACACACACACACACACACACACACACACACACACACATGATCTTAGTAATTTGAATGAGTTTGGAACAACCAACCAACGGTTACCAACGGACTTCGAAGCTGCTCATCATTGTCTGTG